AAAATGCTAAGCTATGCCTGGGGGGGTTTCTGAATATTTCTTGATTTTAAATGGTATTTATCAAGATAATTCTGCCATTTGACATTTAAGCAAATGAGAGCGTTATATGCTTCCTGAAGCATGTAAATTGGAAGCATCTATGAATGGGTACAGAATACTCATTCATTGACTAGAATTTAGACTGCAATTAACCAAGCTAACATTTATTTATTTTTAGGTGCATACCTTCTAATAGGATGCTTCACACTTAAGTAATTAACATTATGTCACAGGGGCAAATGCAAATATATGTGACTCAGTTCTTGCCACACAGATTTTCCTAGTGACAAAAAAATATGGTTTGTCTCTGCCTGTCTCTATTAGAGTTTCCATTTCCTGTACTCTGTTTACAGTTTGTTGCAAATTAAACAATGTCAAGCTGACAAGCTGCAGGTTCTTTTTCTTAAATTTACTGGCTTGTTAGGGGTGAAAAAACTTCTTTTATGTAAAAAAAATGAATGTGCTTTTCTGCAACAAGACTTAAGTGAAAGTGATTCTCCATGTTGTTAGCATAAATGAATTTGGCTCAAGTGAAATGCAAATTAAAGCTATTGTACGTGTTTCTTTTAATAAAGGCAAAATCTGTATTTCTGTAAGTTATTGATGGTGTTTCCAGATAATTATGTTCATTTTGCTAGCCAATACTTAGCTCTCTGACCTATTTCTCACCCCTTTTGCATCAGTTCTGTATTAATTCAGATCTACTGGGTCAGGTATCAGCTTACAGTAAAGTGCACTGAAGCTTTTCTCATTAGCCTAAAATCCCAGGGATGGGGCAGCACAGAGAAGTTACTCCTCTTCAATTTAAGGCTTGTATTGTTCTACCTCAGTGGCACGTTAATGCTTCATTTTGTCGGTATATATGTAAATCTATTCTTCCACACTTCTGACTTGAAAATAAAAATAAAAATATGTGACTGTAGTAATGTATGGGAGCCACGGGAAGAAAGGGAGGAGAAAATGTTCTGTGCCATTGCCATTGGGACTCTTAATGCTTTAGGAGTTGATTGAGGTAATTGAATTGCTGTGCTAATAAATCTCACAAGAAGTTACAGATATTTCAAAACACTTCCTACCAGGATAGTCTTACCTGAGATAATGATCTCTGTCTGAGGTCATAACTCAAGTGCCTGACATTCAAGTATTCTCTGATTATTTTAGTAACCTCACCTCACACAGAGGTATTGCATCTGGCCCCTTTCGTTTCCACTCATGAATTCAGGGCCAGCTCCATTCTTCTGGCCTGGGTCTATGCTTTCTGCTGTGTTACTGTTCTAATTAATGCACATTATACAGACCATGGGCCAGGGACTTTTAAAGCATCAGGACTGAGCAACTGTGAGACATTCAGCCTGGAAGCTGGGATGTGCTACATAATCCTTGCAGGTACTGTTGAGCATGCAGATCTTTCCAAACAGAATCCGCTATTTGTTTGTATTCAGAGGGGCTTTGTTTTCACCTCATAAGCAAATTGGGTTTGACCATCTGATGGGCTGATTGATTCATTTAGGTCTGCATTTGTGCATTGCACACATTAGCATTTATAATGCTAACTGCTCCTGCTTGCACTAACTTGAACCTTTTCCTATGTAAAATACATTAAGTGGTGACTGCTGGGCTGGATGCCTCTTCCTTGATGCTATAGTCTCAGTTCATTTTATTGAGAAAGTTAATTGGATTCAGGCAGTAAAACCATTTTGTAGATGCTACAAAATCAAAACTGCAACAAACATATTATCAAGTGGCTGGGAGGTGATGTTAGTTCCTTCCTTCCCAAAGTAGAAAGGTCAGTTTACGAACACCCTCTAGAAAATGGCTGTTTCATACTAAAACTTCTCAGTGTCAAAAAATTGTATCAGCATCTATACAAAATAATGTTTCTGAATTTTCATTTCTCTCAAACATTAACTATTAAAATTCTCACTGCAATCTAGATGGGAACCAATGTTGAAATGACAAGATTTCTCTGTCAGTCCAAACACAGGGATTTGTCTTAGTAAAATTAGACTTAAGACTGGTGCAAAGGTAGACAGATCTATGTCGAAAAGGAATAGATGAAAATTCCTGAATCTTGTGCAGTATTGAGAACAAATAATATATGACTAAATCAAGTAATGTGAAATATTGTGTTCATTAAACTGTGGTGTTAAATGATGTTTTGCTGTTTTCCCCTTAAAATGTCACTGACAGATACCTGAAAGAAAATTCATATTGTTAATAAGTCAAAACAAGAAAGCTAAACAAAGTACTTGGATATTTTTCTCACAATTTTTTTTTTTTAATTCATCTTGTACAAGAAGTTGACGAAGCTGCATTTTGCTACAGAAAGCTTTTTAGTCAGAATATCTGACTAGCTCTATAATATATTATATTATAGATAATTATTACTAGTTCAAGTAAAGTAGCTTTTTCCAGACATAGGACATAGAAACTATGAGAGAGAGAAGAAAGTAAAAAGGCATTTACAGATCCTGAAATCTGATTTACTGGAGCATTTAACCATGTGCATGAGCACATGAACTGCAGTGATCTATGGCAGTATTCATTTGACTAAAGGAGCTGGCTTAAATGGGAATATACAACTTGGAAAAAAATGCATGAAGGTAGAGAATTGAAGTAAGTTTTAAAAATGCAACTGCAGAGAAGAGCTAGTGACAAACTTTATTCAGAAACCAGTAGAGAATTTGGGTTGTTTTCCTAAAATTATATTGGTGTATTTCTGCCTAACCTATGCCTGAGGCTTTCAGACATGCAGCCTGGGGAATCATCTTCAGACACATCTAGACACAGATGAATTTTTCAACTAATCACACCTCATCCCTTCTACTCCTCTGACTCACTGATTCAAGAGGAGTTGTCCAAGCTGGCTTGTTTTCCTTTGAAAAACCATTCAGATTTTTAATCCTATGTTTGTCAAAAGGCATGTGCCTGGTGTCATGTCGTGGCTTCTGTGACATGGCCAGGCTCAACATCCATCTCCTTTTACTTCTTTGTTTTGTCTTATGCAGCTGTGAGAATGTAGATATGTGCATGTGCATATGTTTGGCTGTGCAGGCATGTGAACAGACGATTCATTTTGTTCACTGTGAAGGCAGGTGTGAAAAATTTGAAGAAAAAGACTGCTTTTATGCAAAAATTCAATACTGAGTTCATAGAAAAACACTAAAGAGCTGAATAATGAGGAAGATCACTTAATGTTTTCTAATTAGATTGATGAAATTTACCCTGTGCCCTTAATCTATTGTGTATTAAGGAAAAATGGCTAAGGTTTTCATTTGAATGCTTTGTTTATTCCCAGTCCTTAATTTCAAGGTTGTCATCTGTGCAGTGTAATTTCCTTTTCTTGCTTTGCATTAATAGCTCAGTATAAATAACTTGTCTGGTTAAAACCAAAGTAGAAAGAGGTCTCCTATGGAATTATGGTAGAAATGTAATTAAGGAAGCAGGAAAAAAAGAAAGCGGCATCATTTGAGGGTTACAACATTGTAAACCTGAAAATAAGAGAATGATAGCATCCACAAGTAGCCAGTATCATATAATTGCTGGAACCCACACAGACATTACAAGAGGTGACAAAAATCTTAAAGACATAGATTAAATCCTTCTGGATCTGAATCCTGATTTCCCCAAAGTATGGCTGCTTACAGCCTCTGTTCTAATTCCCATCCATCTACAACAAAAGATGAAATTGCCAGAATGTCTTTCCTTCCAGACTGATTAAATGGAGCAGGAAAATAGACAACATAAATGGTAATACATTATAATTAGAAACTTGTTTCAATATAATAATCTAAGGCATAATTTGTGGCATAAACCCTGTTTCCAGAAAACACTTAAGCGTATATTTAAGTCCATCTATATTAACAGAAGGCATCTAAACACGTTTCAGTTGAAATGTAGGCTTAAAGTAAAGGTAAAAATAGTTTTGAAGTACATGTGCAAACCTACAGTAATTTTTAGGAAGGTTTTTCCAAGTGAGGATAATTTTAAGAGCTTTTTTACTCTGTCTGGAGTTAACATTCATTTCTTGAGCAAAGAAGAACATAGACAGATATCTATGGTATTTAATTTTCATCTTTCTGGAAAATTGTTTGGATGGACCAGTGTAGTGTTTTTTTCCCTTTGCTTTCAGTGTTACAGCATTTCACAGTCCTTTCTTTTAGAAAGGAGAGCTTCATTATTCCTTGCTGATCTCAGTGCACAAGTCATATATTAGTCTAATAGTAAGAGGAAATAAACTCTTCAGAAGATTCATGTTAGTGTGTTTCAAAATAAGTAATTTACACCTTTGTGCAAATTCATAAATTCCTTTTCTTTGCTGTTGATTTCTACACATCTTCACTGTAATTGGACATGAGCTTTGAAGAAATGTGTTGTTGAAAATTTATGATTCCAGATAGGTGTTTTGAGGTGTTAGGATAAGGGACAAAAGATTTTGTTGTTACTTGTCAAATGTCTTCCCCTGAAACAACATAAGAAAGTGTAAGACACAAATGTTATTTAGAAATTAGTGTCAAAACCTCTTAACACTGCATGAAGTAAGTACTTGCATGGCACACCCCCAGCAGCAACTGTGCTTGCAAGTCCTTATCAAATAGCTGCAAATACATGATCCTGTTCCCGCGGGTCCTGTTCCATGGGTCCTGTTCCCATGAACAAGGGGTGTTGCAGTGCTCTCCTTGCCACCCCATCTATCAGGCTTTCCTTCTGTAACCGAATTGCCCCAAGTTTCCCTTCCTCTAAAAGCACTGTAGAAGACAATTCCTTAAATGAATAAGGCACCTAGTAATCAAAAACATGCCCCCAATCAGAGTAGGTTTTCCTTCAAGAGACTGATAATTTATTTTCTTTTCAAATCATGTCACACTATGAATTGTATTAAAGGAAAAGTCATTAAATATATTCATCTATGTCACTAGAACTTACTACAACTTGTATATTATTCTTGGAAGATGTGAGATTTTATAAATCTGTGACTTGACAAATTATTCGGTTTAATTCACTCATCTCTCTCATACTTGTGTCCTTTCTGATTCTACTTCTCCGAACTTCCAATTAGAAATGAAAGAAGAACAACCCCTGATGACAGAAAGAAAAATCAACTGAAATTAATAATCAAGATAGAATAAAATAAATATTACAAACACTGATTATTTTAATTTTCAACAAATACTCTGCTTGTAAATAGACACTACTTACGGAATAGAAATATGTAAAAATATTGCTTGTGAATAGAAGAACTAAACAAAGCCAACAATTTTGTAATTATAAAGGTCCTTTTGATTTTATTTTCTTTCTTTACCATTTCCACATACAAGTGTAGAATGTTCTTGCACATGCACCGTATTAGAATTTGAGCATCCATTTTTTCATTTTTTTTTCTCTTTTTGTATTAATTTCCACTTGAAGTGTTATGAAAACTGACTGAAAAATATAAGAAATTAAAACCTTGCTGACAAAGATACCTTTAAAAATAGTTAAAAAAGAGTATGAGTTGAGTGTCCAAAATGACTTCAGAAGAATGAAAAGCTTACATACAGCACTTCAAAATTAGCCCAGTCATTTTAATGGAACTTTTCTCTGACTTTTCTGCTAATAGGGCTAGGAAAGCAACTTTCTCTAACCAAAAGCAACGCCTTTACAGGACATGTATAAACCCTGCATACATGTGGAGGGTTTTTCATACGTAAAAAATGCATATACATATATGTATGTGATGTGAATATACAAATACACCCACGTGTGTCTATACATATATAAAGGTAACATACATTTAATGTTTGTCTCTCTGTATTCAAGGATTTGTTATGTAGAAATGAAGCTGTAGTTTGGGAACTGTTCTCACTCTGTTCTTGCCTGCTGTCAAAGTGCTGTGGCAGTGAGAGGGCATGCAGGAAGGCTGTCAAGACCATGCAGGCCATAAACAGCTGCTCCCAGAACATCTGCACTAGACCTCAGAGCTACCAAAGCAGTCATAGAAATGCCACCTCTGGGAGGGTTTCTGAGTTGCATTCACTGTCACCAGTAGCATGGCTGACTTGCACCCTACTGGCTCCCTGATACCAGTTTCTGATGAATTTAATAGGTATTGAGTGTGGCCAGGTAAGGCTCATGGGCCAACCAGTTCTATTTGATTTGATATGGAAGTATCCCTATTTCTGCCAGCGCTGAGTCTTACTCTTATCCAGTTCTAGTTACTGTAAATGATCTGAAGTTCCTGAACCTAAGTTTATTCAGTTGAGGAACTAGTGCCTGGTTTCAGAAATTGTTCTTTTGATGCAGTTTCTGAACCTCCCTCTTTAGCAGAAGTAGAGATAAGAATTACGGGGCATTAAACAAAAGCTCCTAGTAAAATTGTATTTTAGCTCATAAATAGTATTCTTTTAAAACACTTTCTAAGAGCAAGCAGTGTGAAGGACACAGAGCACAATTTCTGTTAGGAACTGATCTAAAAGTCCTAATAGAACTTGGTGTCTGTTTGTTTGTTTGGGGTTTTTTTTAATGTTATAATTTAACATCTTAATTGTTATCAGGAAATATTTTGAAAGCCTCTACTATGAAGTTAACACATACAGGAGTTTTGTTTTTAAGATATCAAACAGATTTAAAGTGGTACTTCAAAAGTCCTCCATTCAGCAGCAATCATTATAACGTGAACTAAATAGATCAGTTGTGCTACTGCGAACATAAAAGCATACTGGTTTAAAGCCTGTCTCACAGCAGCTGCTAAACATCAAAACAATATAGAAACTTAAAAATAATTATGAAAAGTAGTGATATGTCCTTTATCAGATACCAAAAATATTAAAAGTTTCCCTTAAATACATTTGCTTCCTTGCAAGCATACTTGCATATGTACACATAAGGCAAAGTACAAGGACCCTTCAAATGCAATAAATGTGTGCTTTATGGCTGTTAGAATCTAGCCCTGCTAAATCAGAGTGAGTTCCACCATTGATTTCATTTGTATCTGGCTTAGGTACTACTGAATTTAAGTCTTGCATAAAAATCAGACTAATAACTTTAATTCCCTGATGGCTGCAGAGTTGATAAGGAAGTAGCATTTGACTTTATGCTAAGAACTGCCTCAGGATCAGACACAGAGCTGATCGAGAGTACTGTGGCTGCCTATCTATATAGATTCTCCCCATCTTGTGTCATCTCAGCTGACCTCATCTACAGCAAGTAATGAACTTCAGGAGTGTGAGTTTTGCTCACCATACCAACCAAAATAACTTTGTGAGAACATGCTAATTTTAATAATGAAGGCCTTTAACCACTGTTCAATTTTCAATTTGTATTTGGGAGAAAGAGGCTAACATGCCCAGTGGTTTGTGTATTGCTTGGCATGTATGTATAAAAAGTTCTAATCTGCTGTCTAGAGGCTAAAGAGTCAGTCTTGTTCTTTCACATCTATTGGAGTTGTCTAAGTTTCTATAAATAATCTAGAGTCTGAAGAAAAGAGAAAGAATTTGGGGGCCCTGTGCTTAGGAAACTTACCTGGCATGCAGGTGGCAGATTGAGGTTCACATAATTGCTCTAATGGAAATAAAATTGCTTATAGAGCCTGGAACAATTCCGAGATAAATGAGGTGGTCTGTGATTTGAGCAGTTACCTGAAATGTGGAAGATGCAGCTTAAACTGTCAGAGTGTGAGGGGCTCGTTGCTTCCTCTGAGCCATAGTGAGCCACAGCCACTGGATCTCTGATGTTCTGATGTTCTGGACTGATGTTCAATCTCTTACTGTCTCAGCTTCAAAAATACAGAAGCCTCTTTTCATTCCAGAATAGAAAACAGAGATGGTTGGTTGTTTTTTTTTTTAATATAACATTTCTTCCCTAATATTTCCCTCACATCTCTGGTAATGATCCCATTGAGAAATTGCTAACTGTGCCTTTGCAATCCTTGGCCTTTCTGAAATACATGAGGTGGGACCTATACTGGAATCAGATCAGCCATATCTAATCACACAACTGTAACAAAAACTTATTGTGAACTAGAGTGACATTATAACACTCTTGCTCTGCTTGAGGTGCTGTATGATTAGTTTTCTATCTGGGCTATAATCATTTGGCAGACACCTCTAACACTGTAATCAGTTCAAAACTTAATACTGTATTAGCTAAAACTTACAGCAATCAACCCCAAACAGAAAATGCTCAGAAATCAAGAAACAGAAAATTAACAAGGTGGTTCTCTGTTTCAGAAAAATAACATTCTTAGAAGTCAAAACAGCAGGCATTGCGGAAAGAAATTGTTCATGGGATCTATCCAGAACTTTCCCTACCCTGTTTCCATTGACTCTTACCATTCGTTCATTGCCATAGACCCGTTTCTCAGGGTCTATGTTTGCGGTCTTAGTTTCTTATACAATCATAAACCGTCTTAAGAGCATTAGGTAGACTTTGTTTAAAATCCAAATGTGTCATTGAACTATTTGGCTTCAGAACAAAACAGAATTCACACTAACTCTTTTCTGTGTCATTTTACTAAAGCAGCTAAAAGCAGCCAATTGAAACACCTCACAATGCATAGCTAAATTAAAATACACATATAGCACTTTCAGCAAGTATGAAATTGTTATTTTCAGCCAGAAGATGGCTCTGCAATCAAGCCAGGCAAACTGAAACCATAGAGATGCAGCATACAAATATTTTTCTTTTATCTTTTCAGTTCTTTTCTTCCTCAGTGGAAAGACTCCAGTTCCTGTAAGCTGTAGTTTTACAAAACCTCTCGTTTCCCCCATGGCAAAGACTCACTTTCCCCCAAATCCCCTATTTTATTAGGATAGGATGCACGACAGAACAACAGACTCATGTCTTTAACCACTTTCCACTGAAGTCAGTTGGTATCTCACTGCTGATTTCAGTTGGAACTGACTAAAACCAAATAAAGCTGCCTGGAAGATCCCTTCCTTAAAACCCTGTGGGTGGTGTGGATGGCAAGTTCCTACCCATGTTAGTCTTTCATGAGCTGATTTTCTTTTTAACACTTGCTGAAAAGCTATTATTGATGCTGCACAGGGATGTTGCTCAGAAATGGTGTTGAAGATGACATGGCATTATTTTCTTGTTTATAATAAGATACCTGGCTGTTGGTGTTTTAATATTTTGAAACACTGTGTAGAATTTATATTACAACGTGTCATATATTCTTCTCATCCTGGACATAAACTTATGAGTAAAGCCCACATTTGGAAAAGCTAACATTATTAGCCTAAGGAGATATGTTAATTGGCAAGAAACTCAGTGAAATCAATGAAGTAACTCCATTGTGAGCCTCAGGTTAAATCAAAACAAGGTCTACTCTATCTTTTCTTGCACTTGCTTTGAATTACTACTGTAAAAGAGAAAGAAGGAAATTATAGGTACTGTCTAATTTATGAGATTTTTCACACGTGGAAACAAATTTGTTGCTGTGTATGTTTTCCTGCTGTGCTAATTGTTTTAAAATTTCAAATACTGATTATGGGGAACGGCTGAGTGCTTTCTTTTCTGCAAGAGAAGGCTATACAGGTGAGAGAAAAAACTCTTAACAATTGTTTGGGTTTACATTAATATAATAATCTACACTTGATGAGATTTGTCCATGTACCCTGTTTTTAAATATCAAAAAACCACACTGTTCAACACTGTTGTTCTGTCTTTCTGCTAGCTGAAATCCATTTCAATGTCATTTTTGTGGGGTTATAACGTAATGATATAATGCAGCAGTGAATGAGGTCAATTCACTTTTATGCACATGGAGCCTCAAACACAAAGATAATGCTTTTATTTGGGTTGTTTGTTTTTTTTTTTTTTTTGCCTTCCTTTTTTAACCTCTGCTCAGTGTAATTACATGGAATTTATCCTGACATGCTTGTCCTAGAAGACAGGTGGAACTTTCAGGATCTCAAACTGCTTCTTTGTAATTTATTCATTTCATTATGAACCTGCAACCCTCCAGGGGGTGTGACATAATATTATAATACATAATGTTCCTGAGTACTAGATTTTCACTTGGCTCTCTGATTTATCTGACAGATGCAGGGCTAAAAAATACCACATGTAGCTGGAAAAATCCCCAGGAACTACACATACGCAACTGCTAAAATGCACAGGTTATTTCAGTTAACACTGACATTAACATGTTGGAAATGTTCCCTTCTGATTTTACTTTCTCTGGTGAAGTTAGATGGTTTAGTGTTTTATTTCTGAGTCTGCTTCCTGTAGCTGTGCTCTCCCAAAACAAATGTATCTCAGATCTCAGTATCAACCGCTTTCACAAAAGCTGTGTGCAATAACTCTTTCATGAAACCATGGGTTGCCTTTGCTCTCACAGAAGTTATAGAAATATAGATAGGCTTTACAAAATATATCATTTATTTGTCATCCCAGAACAGATGAAGGATAATAGGTTCCCCCTCCCCCCAAAATGGAATTGAATTTAAAGCTCCTGTACTGTTAGGCCAGTGCTTTTCAAAACCCCTTGAGGTTTAAGCCTCCTTTCAGGCAAAGTTATATGAAGACAACGAAGCTTCTTCATTTTACACTTCCTCAAGTATCACTGGAGAGCTCATATTAATGGAAATAGCTATTTTGTCAGTAGTTTACTGGAGGAAAGCAGGAACTGTCTTACCTATTATCTTTTTTACTAATATTTACCTATAATAGTAATGCACTCATACAGAAAGACTAATTGTTTCAAGACTTTGTCCATCAAAATACGCATCAACCATTCAGCCTTTTGGTTACTGAGTATCTTGAATGGTGTGGTGATCTGAACTTCCTCCAGTAAGATTCTTTGTCACAAAGTGCCACTGAATATCATAATATAAAATCAAACTGTGGGTGCTAAATTGAGATAATTTCATTCTCTGTTCCTCCTTGTTCCCTTTGTAGCTTATATACCTTTCTCTGATTACAGAAAAGAGTATCATCAATGTTCAAATTAGAAGGATACAGGGGGATTGATTCCCCCCCTCATGTCAGGATTACTGGTATGCAGGTCTAGCAAATTCAGTGGACTTAGCTTTTATTTACCTTAAAAGTTGCTTATATGTCACTTGGTTTACAAAGATACAGAATGTGGCTGAATAGAAGTAAGACCAGGATGTTACACCTGCCAGGGTCAAACGTGATGTTTTAAGCCTCACAAGCAGGTAAGATTTTTACTCAGACTGCAGATAAGCAGTTTGTGTATGGCTCTTTTCATTTTATTGTGGAAAAGTGCTTATGTAGAGCAGAGAATATTGCAAAAAGAAGATGTTATGGTTATTAAACACCTTAAATTTAATTCCAAGTATTATGGACCATATTACTCACTGCAAAAGCTGAGGCCTCTACAAGCAAAATATACAGTATATGTGTAACAACTGTTAATATTTGTGTTCTTGGAACACCTGCTCAGAAATATATCAGATAGCTGATTTGTATCAAGAATAGCAATTGCCATTTTTCTCCCTGTTTATGAAGCTTTATAGCCTAATTGGAAGTATTTAGGTTCGAAAGTTGTTGCCTTTACTACAAAATCATTCTGGAAGCTTCGCCATCGCCATGGCAACTCGCCGACATATATTAAGCATTCTGATACAACAGCAGTGTTTGATGGTATTCTTAATTTGAGACATTAATTTAATATATCAGTGCTTTATACTGGAGTTTACATGTTCTATCTTTTTGCTATAATCATAAGAAAACTTTGATGCTGAATAATAGCTTGCTAAGCCATAGCTCACACAGTGAAGCAACTACCACAACGTGAATTAGCACGGCCTAAGGAACACGCAGTTTCACATTACACAAGCAGAATATGAAAACACTAACTTACTTAGCTCATGTAGTGCAATGTTACTGTGAGTCTAGGTAAGCTCTTTTAAGAGAAATCAGTATAATCTTTTCCAGCTATATAAATGTTGCAAGGACAATTCACCCTGCTCAGGCAGACCTCACAGAAATCACAGCTGGGATCACTTCACACAGAGGTGTTTTTTCCTAGCAAAATATTCAGAGAAGGGTTTGAAGCAGGACAGACCCTGCCACCAACACTAAATGTGGAGGGCAGTACTGCAGACCATACTGTGGTGTGTACAGGAGGGCCTTGTGCCAGGTCTGGTGAGCAGGCAATGCTCTAACCTTCATGGTGAGACAGAGAGGTGGGACTCAGGTGAGCATTCCTCATGTTTCATACAGACCAGTTGTCTTTCTGACAATCCCCAGACAAAAGCCAGATATAACAAAGTGGTACAAAGATGGCTGCTGTCCCTATGAAAACTCATTTCAACCTTAGAATCATAGAATAGTTAGGGTTGGAAAGGATCTTAAGATCATCTAGTTCCAGCCACCCACATGTGTGGGTGATACAGAGCCTGTGTTACACCCATGGAGCAATGCCAGACAAATACCCCTATACTGGGTAACAGCCCAATATAGATCAATAGGGCAGGGAGAGCCTGGAAGCCATCTACAGCCACCAGGATTTTTCTGGTGCAAAATCAGTATGCTCTTGCATGGGGCGATGAAAAAAGCCTGATTGATCTCAAAATTCTGAATGCTTATTTTATCCATATCTTTCTGAATGAACTTGCAAATAATGTGCAGTGTAGTGGAAATGTAAAATATTACCCTGCTTCAAAGTGTACTAATCTTTCCTGAACTTTTCAAGGTATTTGCTATTAATGCCACTGTACAGCAAAGGTTTTGTGATGGGATAAGGGTGGAGATAAGGAGAAAACGCAGCAGTATTTACAAATAGATTCTGCAAACTGTAGTTCAAAAAAGATGGCATGTTCTGTAATTGCAGATGAGTATTTTCTTATTTATTTTCTGCCAGAAATATATTAAATTATCCTCAGTGCCCCTAGCTAGTCTGTAAGTCTTTTTTTCTTACTGGCCAGAGTCCCATTCCTAGCAATTCTTTAAATTCCCCATTTTTCATGCAACTACCTCGATTATCTATGCTGTTAGTGTGCTCAGTGGCTTTCTGTTGGTAGAAGTGATCCCAAGAGTGTCATTCTTTTTATTGCATTTCACCGACGTGTGGATAGAATAGTTCTTCCTCTTTGGAGGTCAGAGAGGAATGATCTGTTTACTTCCCTCTAAATGGAGGATAATTCTGTTTTTGCTTGGCACTGAAACTTTTCTATCAGACACCTTCCTGGAGACAATACTATAAAAGCCAGATTTTTAGCAGATTTGGACACTTTCTGCAGTTCCCCATTGAAATATTGAATTAGATCCGAAATGATTTTCTTTTGCACTAGTGTCATTTTAAGAATACTTTATGCCAGGACCTTTGATACCAAATTTCATCCCACAGTGAATTCTCACATGTAGTCTCTCAAAAGCAAATTTTACAATAGACTTACTAACTGGCCCTTGCTTCCAGTAGTGCTGCTTGCAGGCTTAGTTAAAAAGCAGGCTTGATGGGTATAAGACCATAAACACATACTCTTTTTAGAATGCAAACCTTAAAGCTCCTCTGTAATTTCTACTCCCCAAAGCTGTATTCTGCTCTTGCCAAATGTATATGTTAAAGAGGATGAGTGTACCTCTTATTAGGAAATGTGAATGAAATGAAGAGTGGATTGTGCTGATTAAAACACAGGCATATTTTTCTGTATACTGCAGCTGATAAACTGAAATGACTTGGTGAGCTGGGAGTTGCGAATGGATGAATACAACTGCCTAATTGAGAATGGTTTTAAAAATCACTTTGAAAATACTTGTGCTTCCCTTCTTTTGCCTCCTCTGAGCCTTCATGCTTTTAAATAGTAACCAGT